AAGTAATGAGTCTTGTAGTGAATGAGGGCAAGACAAAATACGTGGAGGTCAGATACAAACATTAGTTCGCAAGACGGGAGAACTACGTCGCTGTAGGCTATACATTTCAAAAAGTTGAGGACTTTGTATATCTCGGAACCAGCATTCATTTGGAAATCAAGCGCAGAATAACTCTTTGCCAATATGTGCTACTAAACATAAATTAAGCTCTATAAGTCGGTCATTATTCCCGTTCTATTATACGGCGCCGAAACATGGACGATAACGATCTGAGATGAAAAAGCATTTGAGCATTTAAAATGACTCTTTTTCACATGATCTGCCGTCTGCGTGAACAACGATTATCTAAGATTTCAGAAAAAGAACTTTACGATCTCTATGGCGGCATAGATAAAGTTAAGCACATCAAAATCCAACGAATACGCTGGTTAGGCAATGTCGTTGGCATGGAAGGTGATACTCTATCCAAACGCTCCTTCGACTCGAGACCCACGTGTGAACAATAGGGCCTTCCAATGGAAGAACCAAATGCATAGCGACCAGTCTGCATTTAGGATGTAGAACTAGCATGACGCAAAAGATAGAGGCAACTGGGGAAGTTTTATGTTCTCAGTCCAAACAAAACCACTGTTGTAGTGCTAAAGAAGAAGAAGAAGATTCGATTTATCTAAATATAAACTGTGCGAAGAAATTCCAACCAAAATCTTTTTTCTTTGAAAAAAGACTACAAAGTCATCCGATCAAAGATCTATCGCAAATACAAAAATCTTTAGAATCCAAAAAAAAAATATGAAAAGAGATGAGAGAGTTGTTTTTGATACTAAATTATTCCAATTAAGCACGGCGCTTAGGCAAATCAGCCTCTTCTCAGTCAAATATCAATTATGAACACAAAACCATGGCAACCTTTTATAATTACCCCAATACACGATCAAGAAATTTTGTTCACATCAACTCGTAATTCTTCCGATAATGATTACTCATCGTCCTGTTTTAATTCTGTTTCTCTTTTGACGTGTTCTTCTTTATCTCCAATATTTGTTTATTTCTTATTTTGGCTGCTGCAGTTGTGTTCGCATGACTCGAAGTCCTATTTTTATTGCTTTTTCAATCGTATGCTAAATTCGGCCTAAGGCTCAAATTGCACGCACATTTTGGCCGGCGAGAGAAAGTTTATAACCACAACACTGTTAACCAATACACACAGCGGTATTTTAGGTCAGGAATTTTTGTGGTATAACGATGAGTAAGTGGACCGCTGCCCTCGGCTTAACGAAAGTGTTACACATTCCCACAATTTTGAGTTAGCAGTTATAGGCCACAGAATGACCTTCAGACAGACGAAATGTGGCAACTGTAGAAAATCGTAAAATTCGAAATGGTGAAAAGTTGTAGGAGTTTCTGAGCAGAGGTGTAGATCTTAAAAAATGAAGAACCTAAATATTTAAAGACAGACGGATTTTGAGTATGCACTAACTGAACAAATTTAAATTATTCTTAAAATGAATTATTCTGGTTTAGAACCACTGAACTCCTAAGTTATAGCTAAGAACTCAACCTAAAGAGACGAAATATGATAGAAAAACTTGCATGTGGTAGAGAAACTGCAGCAATTATAGCATACAAGGTCACGCCCGTGTAAAATATAAATCTACAAACCTTTATCTCAAAATCTAGCAATCTATCTCAATAGTCTAGCAAGATTAATGATTTTAAAATCTTTGAAATTCAGCTCGCGAAGTTTCTACTAATTTTACTTGCGATTCAATATAAAAAGAATGACTTTCCGGGTAACGACATCTTCTTTAAGTAACACAAAACTATATTTGACACCACCAAAATGTATTTAGTTCTTACCGTTAACGAGCTGCGAAGGTCTTTCTACAATTTCTCCAATATTTATTACATCAGAATGTGACTGCTCACGATTGAAAGCGAATTTGTGTCTGTATGTGTACTTTCTTGATATTTGTGTTACCACTGCATGTCATGCCACATAAATATAAATCACGTTTGCTGCCACTTTAGCTTTTTCTGCGGCGTTTGTTGTGTATTTAACAAGGAAGCACACACATGAGGACGCGTCTTAGAAAGAAAGAAGTGCAACAACTTCACTAAAATCTCCAAAAAAAAAAGAAGCGATGAAAAAAGTTCACATTCACGTTTTCCGGTTCAAGTTGCATGCAACAATTTAGTAGTTAATGGTATATGTATATGCCACATTGCCACATCGTGATGATTATTATGTGCGCATTTATTTATTTATATAAAGGTAATTTCTAAGTACGCTTATAAGCTTATAAGCAATAGACATGTGGCACCAGCAGCAGCATTTACGGCGCCTCCACGAGACTCAATAATATTTAGCTAACATTTTTTTATGGATAATAATGCTAGATACATTTTTTTCGATTTTATGGATAATAATGCTAGATACACACATAAATCTCCGATTCTCAATAACATATACTCAATTTATGTTTATGTATATATATCTGTATCTTAGCTGAAGACCGCAAAACGCTGACAATTTCGTTTGATTTATTGGCTGAAAATGTGTCATATGGTTTCTTGCTTTTGGCAGACAAAGCTCTATGTACTCTAATTGAATCAGGACTACAACAGAAGAGCTTGAATCTATACTATACATTTCTGTGCCCTTATTATGTAGGTTTTCATATGATCTGACACATTGAAGGCTCCAGAAGCTTAGGTTAGGTTAGGTTACGCTGACTGGCTGTTAAGCCGTACGTAGAGCTAAACTTTACATCGTTCAGCATGTCAACACTTTTTACGAAGTTTAATAGAGACTTGATTTTTAACTTCTTCTAGTCCATTAAAATACGAAGCTCCTAGATATTTAAGCCCAGTTATAGATAGGGCAGCACAAAAGAAGAGGACTCATTCCAGCGTCTCTCATACCTCTCATACCTACTTTCCCGCACTTTGTACATGTGTCATCGTAGTTCAATTTAATTTGAGGTGAAGCATTTGTCAAACTGAAGGTCAACATAATTTTGCGAGCTTTAAGATCGCTTTCATATCTAATTTTTATACTTATCTAAAAAAAATCGCTTTCATGTCTAATTTTTAATACTTTATCTAGCCCCTTGATATACAAAGCTCTTAAATATCTAAGACAATTTCTAGCTACTGCTAGACAGAAGCTCAGGAAGTGTCCCAGAATCTCTCCGCAAGCTGAAAGTTATCTGCGAACATCTATCGAGCTTTTTGATTAACTTTCTTAAACCAAAAGCAGTTGAGATCTCGATATGTATTCGTATTATCTTAGAGTAAGCCTAATCAGGTCTCCAAATGCTACACCGTTACGCAACCGATTACTCTTTTGCTTCAATAAATGATTAACAAAATACATGCTCTATCGCAATCGCTACTTCAAAATAAAAGCTCTTATTAGTGTTTGAACATAAAATCAGTAAAGTGAAGAAGCGGAGTTCGGTGATAATTCCTCCCGAGTTCGTTGTTCTTAGGTCCTTCCTAAGGCATGTGAGCTGGCTATCGCTTCATTGCATACAAGATTTTYTTTTTTTATTTTTGAGTCAGTGAGAATTGCTAAATCAGCTGAGAAGATAGCAGACCACGTATCAATCTACTCTGGATTCAATACAAACCCAATTTTGTACAACTTTACTTCAGGCTTTTCTTGGTAGGCGCTGTACTATACYAACAGTRCTYCTTTTTTTATTCTTGAAAAATTCYTGCTAYAATTTYACGTTTGATATTCKWYGAMGTTCATCAATCGTCGCTGGCTTGTTGGCATAGACAATAGACTTGACATAGCCTCACAGGAAATARTCTAACGGCGTCAAATCGCACGGCCAAATGATTGGGMCATTTCGTGAGGTCTTGRTCATCACGGAAAAAGTACGGCCCAATGCCACTGTCGTTCTAAWAACCGCACTAAGTCKTAATTTTTTCGTAATGCAATGGTGACTTATGGTAGGAGTGGATTGCTGTCTGACCAACAACATATATTTTGCTTATTGACGGAGCCATTAAGYCTGGAGATGATTTTCGTTASRAATCCGGATCATTTTCAAGTTYTTGTTTWGCTCAATTCACAAAYATCAACGATCGTGGTGRTYAARCCTCTTCAGTTCTTGCTACAAKTTGATCTTRTAAGGAWKTATACCAARAYCTTTTCGTAAAATTCGCCACAACGACGCCACAGAAATGTYCAACGCTTGAGAACGACCTGTGAGAGACTGAYTTGGGRCTTYCTCAATTTATGCGACAAAAATTYAAATTTTTTCACTAGACCATCGATTATTGATTCGACAGAACGATTATGACAATCATAAATTGAACGTCGCGCACTCTTAATATTGAGGCCACTGACCATCCGAATTTCAGTAATAAATTTTAATGATTTCGACTTGTCGTTGGATCGTATMKCTTTCCATGATAAAATGGCAAASCTTATTAAATAGGAATGGTAAAAGAGCGCGAAAAAATATAACGTTGKTTGCTRTCTCTYTCTGTCAACTTTTGCAGCGTYCCTATTGCAAAMCCCGTTATAAGTCATGGTTCAACTGCAAAACCAATTAAATTGTAACTAAGTAATGTGCGATTTTATGGCACTCCTCCCCACAAAATATATATTTTCAACTCAACGCCCTGATTTCCATAGTTCCTCCATGCCAACACGGACTATATTTAAACACTTAATTACGTCTAAGAATGAACGACCATGTAAGCTTTTAATTGCACTTCATCAGTTAATAATTAGGACAACATCGAACGCAGCTATAATTAGTCCACTAACTATTGATTAACGCTTAAAATGCATTACATGYGATTTGCCATACAAAACGCGCCTTTAAAAGCTCATTAAACAATTATGAAATAATTTGAAACACCCTAACCAATCCACACAAGCGGTGGTAAAGGGTTGACAGACTGTGAATAAAGAAACGCACCCGACTCAATGCGGGTCACAGTCGCAATACGACAGCCGGAAGACAAGGAGTARCAGCAAAATGCTCGCCACTTTCTAYAATCTAACGGCACTACTGCGTCTCTGCGAAGCATTGACATTGACGCAGRACTTGGCGTTTATGGTGCAAAATATCGCCGAAGCCGCCAGCCGGGAACAGCGGCTTGTGCACACAATCATTTACGTCAGTCTGGAGTACAGAAAGAGAGAAGAACAATTCCAAACAGGCGCGTTACTCGCCGGACTACACACATCACACAATCCGTGGCCAATGCTGAGTTTCGATGCCGCGGCACCAATACGACGCTTCTGGAACAACATCAATAATAATTACATAGTTGTAGCGCGGCTTGCAGGGCAGCAGCAGGCAGATGTAGAATTCTTGCAAATCCTGTGGCAACRACTTTGGCAAAATACACAAAGTCGTATAATATTGCTGCTAAATGATGATGTGAGCGCAGTATATGTGGCACGTATACTAAACTATTGCGCCACGCATAACGCGATGAACGTGATTGCTTTACGTCCGAAAGAGGCGGTGCTAAAGCACACSTACTGGACGTTGAGCATTTTCCCGACGTGGCAAGTAATCAAGCGCACGTTTCTAACGTCATACAGCAGGACATTTCCGCAACATCTCGGCAATATGCACGGACAGCGGCTACGTATCGCAACCTCCAACTCTTATCCGCAGTGCTATCTCATGCGCGACGCACACGGCGATACGGTGCTTAGCGGACATATCGGCAAAATATTTGTCGAGTATGCACGGCGACATAATGCCACGCTGGTGTATCCGTTTAGCAAAATGCAGGGCAGCGTGTTTGTCGATCGCTTGGATGACTTGGTGCAAAATGGCAGTGCCGATATGAACTGCCAGGCCACATATGAGAACCCAAATTGCAATCTCAGCTACTCAAGAATATTCGACAGTCATCGTTGGTGTCTAATGGTGCCTATGGAGCAACCGCTGCCACCAGCAACCTACTTTTTCATTATCTTCGACAAAGCTACAATCATTATGATGCTATTTGGGCTGCTGGCGCTCAGCTTTACGCTCACGCTAACTTTTTACTTGCAAGGCGCTGCCATCCCATTTGCCGATCTTGTATTCAATGCACCCATCTTGCAGGGTTTACTCGGTCAAACGTTTTGGATGGAGAGTCGCACATTGGCCGCACGCAGCGCTATCTATGCAGGCATTTCGGTTGCTGGCATCATTTTTAGCACCACCTATGGCACATATTTGCAGAGTTTCAACATGCGTGCACCCATCGAAGCACCGGCCGAAACTATACCTGAATTGTTGGCACGCGGTCTCAAAATATTAATTCACACCGATGAAGTAAAACTATTTGAATTGCCAGCGGGTAGATATCAGTGGTTCGTGCCATTTATAAAGCAGATGACTGTTGTCGAGAACCGAAGTGAAATTCAGCAATTACGTAACGCATTCGACACGCGCTATGTATATCCAGTAAACTCCATATGGCCCATCATTGAAGAGCAACAAAAGTTCTTTTCACGTCCCATTTTTCGCCTCTCCAATATCTGTCCGGTAACCCGTTGGCCTTTGGGAATCAGTTTTAGTGAAAATTCTGTGCATCGTTGGACTATCAATGCCCTATTGGGTGATATACAAGCAGCGGGCCTGTTGGCGTACTGGAAACGACATGCCTTCGTCGAAATGCTACAACTGAAACGGATTACTTTGCTGGATAAAAGTGAAAAACCGGATTTCGTACCAATGAAACTGGAGGCCCTCTATATTGTGCTAAGTGGACTTGCTGTGCTTGAACTGTTAGCTGTGGTGTGTCTGCTGCTCGAATTGGTCACAATTAATTATCTCAATTAAAGCTGTRTAATATTAAATATTATATAATCAGTGTTATGAAAAATCTGCACTTCACTCACTCGAAGCTTGGACGGTCGAACTCACCTAAAGTTTGCTCAGTGCTTTTGAGTTGGAATAGAGTTCATCGTGAAAAGTTCTCGATATAAATTTATTCGAACTCTTTTAGGTCTCTAAGCGATAGCTCTATTTGAAGTTATAAAATTTGATTTTCTTACCTTGACTAAGTTAATAAACGTGGTTAGTTAGTAATTTTTGATGATATTGGAATTGTTGGTAAGGAGGGAAAAACACTACCGTATAAAAATGTCCCGCTGGTGGTAAGCAGGTCGTTAAGTTAGCTAGCGTCTGCTAGTTAGAATTCGTCTGGCTTACAGGAATCCATAAAAAATTCTAAACTTTATTAAAATCACAGTTCTTAAGGCAGTTGCTCTTCTTGCATGGGTCTCAGAACCCCTCCTACTTGCATATTGTGTAAGCTCTCAAGCAAAATTTCGAAATTCCTCTCATTTAGAACTATCCCTATTACTCTCACATTTAAAAGGTGTCTCTTTCATTATGTTTTCTTTAGCATTCCCAACAGAGTTCAATCTTTAAACCRCCCCGTGAAATAAAACCTGTAATGTTGGGTCTCAGACTAACCCATCAAGCCTTGATCAACTRCCAGCAAGGTTCTTCTGGTTTATAGTAAATCGTTAGCGATCTAAGAAATGCTTCGCTCTTAGCAAGACCCACCTTTTAGTGGTTTTCAGAGTTCTAACTGGAGGCTGGCCCATCGGAATTCTTAGGGTAAGATTGAACATCTTGTTGTCTGGAAAAAGTTGGCATAAAATCATTTCAAAAACTCCCTCTTCGACAGTTCCACTGGCCGATCAAGTCAAAGAAACCTCGAATCTCAAACTTGACATCCGAAATCTTCCTCTTCACTATTGGCGTAGATACCACTTACCGAGATGTCATGTGCCTAATACATTCTGGAAAAAACWGAAATAATGGCGCAGATGTTGAGGACAATGATGGTACCTTCTCGATTAAGCTCTGCAGTTCGAATTATTCTTTACAAGAGTAGATTGAAGAAATGACATGAAAGGCAGACGAGTTGTCTGAGACCTCGTTTGGTATCGAATGGCTCGGAGAAGTCCGTCCCGATCCTGACCGAGCTTTTGGTATTGYCAGATATCGTGGTATAAAGGCAGCTTCTTTTCGAGCTGTCAAAAGCCGCTTTGAAATCAACGAAGAGGTGGTGCGTATCGATTCACTTTTCAAGGCTCTTATCCATGGTTTGGCTCCTGGTGAATATCTGGTCACTTGTTGATTTGCCAGGCCTAAAGCCACACTGATAAGGTCCAATCAGTTTGTTGACGGCGGGCTTTAATCTTTCACACAATACGCTTATCCCACGGTAGTGGACGCCTTAGCGGGTTCTCCCTTTTATGTGAATTGGGCAAAACATAAATTCCAATCKTCGGGCATAAAAACAAAATGGAGTTCTTTCGTCTGGCTTTACAAAGAACTGTGCATAACAGTCTACCATAAGTGTGAACCCCAGCCATGCTGAGCGATATGTCATCTAACCTAACCTAAGTCGCACAATGAATGAGGTCAATTGAAGCGCCAATATATAAATAACCGAAAKGACATCATTTTCAAAATATAAAGCAGCCACTATATTTATTTGTGTGCTTTGAAAACCGTTATGTGGCCTCTTGCTGAAAGTGAACCAGCAGAAACCTCCCACCACCACTACACACTTTGACATTTTGACTTCGCTCACACCTCGCACATGTATGCATCACCGCGAGGGGCCGCCCCGCAAGTCAGTTATCGGCATGTTGCAGCGCATTCAAATCCAATTTGTTGCACATGCAATTATTGTGCGATTGTCACCGCCATTAGCCAAACAATTATTGCACCAAATTGTTTCCCTTTGTTATAGCCAAGTACCAAATGTAGCAAAACAACAAACAACAAATATACATACATTAAACTGAACATTGCCTGCCGCTTGCCCCATATGACGGTCGCATGCCTATGTTTAATACATTTGACATGTTCAACATGTTGCGGCATACAAATTTTGTGGCACGTTTTTGTAGTGTCGTCTAGAATTTGGAAGCGCTTGGTGAGTGCTAACACCTGCAAAATAGCAGCAACAACAACACAACGTTGCGGTGGCATTAGCATAAACTGCCGCTAATGACATACATGTTGTCACTTTTGGCCATAGCCGTCGACGAAATGTGTTGCATGCACAAGTAATGTTGACTAAGTGGCGCAAAAGTGCTTGCACACATGCATCGCAGCACAAGGCTGTCCATGTGCAACAGGAAGCAGCGTTGCGCTAACACTAAAACCGATTTGTCTATCTCAGCTTATAACAAGCAGATGCAAAATAGCGGCAAAAATATCCGCAGCAACAACGRAAATAACGTTTAAAATTTAAATGCTGCCAAGAAATGAGTGCGCTTTCAAAGTGGCAACAGCAGCAGTAGTTGCTGTTGCAACGAAGATGTCACAACAATCGCCGCAAGCGCTGCACAAACAACCAGCCAGCTGCAATTACATGTGTTCATAAGTACTGAAACTCATATACATATATGTCCGTCTGTATGTATGTATGCGCATTTATATGTGTGTGTTTGTGTTGGTAGATATTTTGGTAGCGTCTGTTTTTGACAGATGTGGAACCATTAAATCTGCTTCGTCTATTTTCGGTTATTTATTGTGCCTCACTTCCACTTTAGAGCGCGCGGCCTTTTTCGTTTCGGGGGCATGTTCGTGTTAATGCTGGCAAAGTGCATACTCGTTGCACATACACAGCGGTATGTACGTAGGTATGTGTGCTGGTGCTTTAGCATCGACAGTTCGTCCAATCATTTGTTGTTTTMCTAACGAGATGTCGTCTAAATGACTTGTTGCCGCTTGTTTGGCGATTTGTTGGTTAGCAGTTGAAAGCTGATGTTGCCTCGTAACTGTTGGCAGTTGCCTATTGGCATCTTTTTGGTGCTTTATTGATGTTGCATTGAAGAAATTCATGATGATTTATTTGTGGTCTTGTCATTTTCGTTTTTTATCTGGTTCAAATAATGATTGCGCATGTGTCTTCTTGATTTTCACGACACCTTTATTGCCAAAGGCATTTCAATTCATTTTCTTCTCTCGTTCGTCTTCACTGAATTTTACATTCGATGTAAATTTGGTGCGAAACCAACAAATCTTTATATATGTAYATACTATATTTATACCCTGAAGATGCCATGAAATAAACGTTTGAKACCCTATAAGGTATATATGTTTATAAAGATTCACAGTGGCGTTGATGAATGTAACTATATCCTTCTGTCCATCTTTCTGTTCTTCTGCATATATGCAAACTAGTAACTCAAGTCAATATCTTACCAAAAAACTGCTCATTTGTCGAGTGTCTCACACCAATGGGCCCCCAAATGCCAATGCAGGCCAAGTGCACAAAAGTTGTTGCTTTGTTTCCTTGATGCCTWGGTTTTATCATTTCCTGAAGGCTTTTTGATCTGTCAGCCCCTATCTGAAGRCTTGTGCCGCCACGAGACGTTGAGTAGTGAGTATTACAATTATGTTCTWATAGCCTATTCCATCGAGTGCCWATAGGAACTTTGTATATTTCGCATCAGTAGCCTTCATGAATATAGACAGAAATACCGACATCGAGTAATATTCGAAGCAGTTTAATCGYTATTTACTCAGCGAAGACACCAAACGAAACAAAACAAATTTTACAGAAATTATAGCAGCGAYTTWGTGYATTTCCGATCTACCGTTTTWCACATGACTTTTGCAGTTTTGCATCCAGATAGTTCGTTCTATTGCATTTTGATTTTCYTATGTCTTATAGACAATGCATGGGTTGTCCAATGTTGATTACGTTTTCGGGTGACAGCAGTATACCACTTTTAGCAATCTCGTTCACTATCTCATTGCTCTGGGTGCTTTGGTGACGTGGCACCCAGTAGGGGTGAAGTCGTTTGGTTCTGGCGTCACTCAACACTGCTGCTCTACTTTCCAAGCCCCTTCTGTCCAATATGCGCAACGGGGTTAAATCCTTGAATGTTGGTTGGCTGTCCACTTAAATTTTAACTGTAAAGTTTTCTGCTGACTCGTTAGAGGTTAACTTCGCGGCTTTTACAATAGCAATAGCTATATCGCTACAATCTGCGAACATATTGTTCAGATCGGAGCGTTGTAGCTAATGGTTGCTATTTTGATACACAAGTGCCACTGTGAGTGAAATGTAATTAACAAGTATTTTCACATATCTCAAGAAAGGAAAAGATAGGTCTTTCAGCAAGTTAAGGCCACGCCTCACAGTCTTAATGACTTGCTAGAATATTCAGGAGCTTGGTTGATATATGCACCTTAACATCCGAAGATGATACTCATTCCTGTAAATAGTGAATAATATCCTGAAGAATTGTGATTATAGACGTCTAGGAAAACCACTGTCCAGCCTGCTCTGATGGCATTTAAAAAATCGGTCACATAACGCTAAGTATGTTCTTTCAATAGAGAATAAAGAGTATGTCGTCATATAGTCCCTGAGCGCCACTTTCACGGCTAGAGCGTTTAAATTAATGTTAGTTGAAAATTTTACAAATAGCCTATGGCTACAAAGGTACCATAAACTGTTCCAAAGTTATTACAATTCACTGTCATGTATAGCAAGAAAATATTGTTATAAAAAGTTATTACACGAAGAGAGCTGCATTCGTAAACACACCAGACTTTAGTGGTGGACAAAATAAAATTCCATCCTATATTCGTGCAGGATAAACTTGTTACGCTTGAATCATCAAAAAGGGAATTATTTAACAATACAGTTCCTACAAAATATAACTGCACTACTCAGTCTGCTCGAATTGGGAACAGTGAAACAACAATTTGTTGAAATAATCTCAGATATCTGTGAAGCTAGGACAAGCGAACAACAAACTTACACTATCACCTACTTTAGTGATGGGAATATAGCT